ACGTGTACAGAAGTAAACCTCATCGAACTTGTGCTGGTTCGATTGTCCCGCGCCGAAACTGTCGTCGCAGGTGAATCCTTGTCTCGTGATCCTAACTCTCATCGCATAATCCCATACGATATACTATTAACTGCACTATAATAATCGACATACACGTATGATTCGTACAAAAACAGACAATTTTTCTCTGTTCGACAGATCTGTTGATCGACATGCTTGGAGTATTGGCCAGTTACAGTATAACGGTGAAGGAGTTAAAACTTTTATTCGGTGCTATGAAAGCTGTAAAAGGAAAATGGGTAAGGCTCTTTCTAAGAATAAAGGGAAAAAACGAAAAAAGAAAGAAAGAAAGGGAAACTTAACTTGGAGAAGAAACTTTCTTGTGGTCCATCAAGAAAAGAGCATGAAACTTTGAATTGTTAATCGAAGCTTCCAGAGTTTAAGCTTTGTTCGATTATTTCTTAATTGCAAGTGTTGTAGTTAGAGTTTCAAAGAAATTTTTGCTGATACGTCGTGTGTCATTTGTGCTTGTATTGAAAACAGTCGATTGGTTGCCAAAGAACACGTGGCATTGTCGGTGTGTTTTTTCAACACTGATAAAATTAGCTGCAATGCTGTTTAAACCGTGGGGCTCCGAATCAAGATTGGACAAGGTTTAAATTCTTAATTTTCAAAACTTCTTTTCCGAAATTCTTAATTTTTCATTCATGATTTTTCGAATTAATATATAGCGAAATGTAAACAAACACACGTGGGTATAATCAATTTCAAAAAATAGTTTCACGCTCAGCGGTCAGTGACTGTAATCACTTTTAACCAGTTAACTGAATAATTGGACAAGGTTTAAATTGTTAATTTTGAAAAAAATTTTTTAAAATTCTCAAGTTTTCATTCATGATATTTCAAATTAGTATATAGCGAAATGTAAACAAACACACGTGGGAATAATCAATTTCAAAAAATAGTTTCGCACTCAGCGACGAGTGACTATACTCATTTTCGACCAGTCAGCTGAATAATTCTCTTTCATTTTTAGTTAAAAATAAGTAAAAATTAGAACCAATTATTTCACTTTGTTTCAACATTTCATTCGTGATACAGGAAAAATGGTGCAATTAAAAATGAACAATTCTTAATCAAATAAACCGTTGTATTCTAAGAATCGATGGACAAGTGACGAGTTAACTCTTCTCCGGTTAAAAAGTTACTGTACAGTGACTGCTCCATATTGACTAACTATTTACAATTACCTTTAATAGTGTAATTACACTTAATTACGAAAGAGTTAACAATTCTCAAAAAAAAGTCTCAAAATTCTCAAAATAACATAGAACTTCATATCCCCCAATTTTTCTTTTCTTCTCTACAACACTTGTCGGGTGCAATTCACGACTAACAAACACTAATTACACGTCGTCACTTATGCCACAGCCACGACATTCGGCGAAACTGTTGAACGTTCTCCGTCAGATGCCACAACGGAACGGGCCAGACGTGTTTTTCAGTTTCCCCGGTAGAAAAGGATCGGTAAGTCGATTTCCAACCCTTCTCCTCGACCGGATATCCCTGTTACGACCCCGTCCAAGATGCCGTTCGATCCTGAACTCTATTAAACTTTCGATAAGTAAAATTCTCCTTGTTTCACGGGAACTTCCACCACCCCAACCCAGTTTAATCCGTCGAATCGAATGACGTATTGATTGCTCGGGCAGGGCCGAGAGGGGCTCTTTACGGCTGGAGAATTATCGAAATTATTGGAACCGCTTAAAACTCGATCAAGGTTAAGCGTATTCTTTCGATGCGTGAAATATTGCACATCTGTGTGCGGGAATTTGCAACATTTTCAGCTGATCTGCATCCAGGCGGAATATTTGGAGAATTTCACTGCGTAAAATTGTGCGGTTGGCTCTTTTCGTATTTTTATTTCGAATAACTTTTGGGGGGATTTAGGTTACTTTACATAGATGGTTGGAATTTTAAATTGTGGAACTTGGAAATTGGGAGGGAAAGATATGGCAAAGTTTTTGGAAGATTTTTGATTGTACTCTACTTTTTTTCTGGGTTTTAGAAACTGTGTTATAATTATAGTATCGTTGGTTTGCTGAAAGAGTGACATTTTGAGATATTTGCAAAGAATAAATCTCCAAAATCACTAATTCTGAGATATTTGCAAGAGTAACTCTAAAAGTAAACGTATTTAAAATAAACGAAAGTAAAATAAAACCTATTCTAATCGAAAAGAGTATCGCTAAAATTCAAATTAAAATTATACTATTTAACAAAGACAATGTCACAGTTCGAAATGCGGCTGCTTTAACCCTTTCTTCAGAGACCCCTCAAAACCCAAAGACTACTAAAACCGAAAAATTTTTAAAAATGGAAAAAATTTGTCATTAATTTTTTCCACTGCAAAATATTTCAAATTGATTCCCTGAAAAATTTCCCTTTGTAAATTGCATCACTCTTCCAGCAAACCCTGCGATATATCTCTGTTGAAGAAAAAACTTGGGTGTTTCACTTAAGAAATATGAAATCTCCACTACGTAGAGTGTCAAATTTTCACCAAATCTCGATAAGAAAATACGACGAATGGTTGCTTTCAGAGTGAAGTAAAACCTGTTCGAGTAACACGTCTCGAAGTAGAGACGTTCGAACAAATTGCCTCGACATTAGAAAATACATCTCATTTCAGCATCGACATGGCAGCTATCCGTTTCACGATCCGGTAAGAAAACGACGAGAAGGACGCGTAAAACGCGGTACTTTTACCGGGAAATCCATCGAAACAGATGTCTTCCGCTGCAGGAGACGTTTCGTAGCTATTCAATGAGTTCTCTCGTTCGGAGACAGAAACTTTCTCTATGACAGAGAGAACGTTAACGGAAAAGAAGTTTCCCGTTCGCTGCAACTGTTTCGAGCGTTCACTTTAATGTACAACTTTGAAAGAGTACAAGTCAAAGGGGGAAATGTCCGTTCGCGAAGTTCAAGCAAAGTTTCCGACGCGTGCGACGCTAGTCAAAATAATCAGAAAGGTGTTACGTGTATGGCGAACGTTTTCCACAATTTCTATTTCAACTTTGTCATATAGAAAACTACTTGAACGAGACAGCAAGTGTTTTTTTCTTTTTTTGAATTCACGTAATTTCGGAGAATAGCAAGTTTTTGTTGTAACAAGTGAAACAAGTATTCTAACGAGCGTATATATTGACATTCGGTGAAATAATAAATTTTGGGTAATTTATTATAACTTTTTGTATCGATGCAAATAATTGTTGATAATTTTGAAGTTTCAGTGTGATATTAGGTTGTCACGAAGTAACAATAATACGGTGATAATTCCTGAATATTTCTTAACCCCAAATCCTGTTCCTATTTCTTATTCCACATTTGTTAAGCTAGGAAATAAAAAGAATTAACCCTTTGGGCACTGAGTTTCAACATAAAAATAAGCCTGAACTTTCTTGTTCATTTCAAGGCACTGTATATTTTATTTAACTAAATCTAAGTTGCTCTTCCAGCAAACCGATGATATATCTCTCTTAAATAAAAAATTCAGTGTCTTTTTTTTTTCGAATATAAAATCTCCGATTTTCAAGTTTCTTCGATAGGAAAATAAGACCGATGCTTCCTTTCCAAATTCCTATTTAAGAATTTCGATAAATAATCGACAAACAGTGATAATAACGGTAATATAACACATCGCAGTCCTCAAAGGGTTAAATACGCTATATGTATATCTGCGATATCATTCTCATCATAATTGAAATTCAACTGGAGATTATTAATCAGTGGTTTTCACCGTGACCTCCTCAGGCAATCCTCCTGCCGCCGCTCGCGAAGTGGCCGCACGAGAATGGATTCACGTTCACCACGTGGTTCCGTCTGGACCCCATCAACTCGGTTAATATCGAACGAGAAAAGCCGTACCTCTACTGGTAAGTGCTCTTACATCAAGCACACTTGCGAGAACACTCTCTTGAATCGAAGTGGCCAGCTACCTTCAACAGTCGTTTACGTTACTGACCTTCGAGTGCTAGTTAAGAGAAGAGAAACAGAGAAAAAAGGGAGAGGAAAATGTATGGTCGGTGGAAGAAATATAGCGCATTCGTGAATTAAACGCGGTGTGTCCAACTCTCTGCCCGTGGGCTGCCCGCGAGCGCAGGAGATCGCAAACTTTTAACATCGTTATAAAATTTTTAGCGATATTTTTCGTGACTCGATTAGAGAAGAGAAACATAGAGGAAAAAGAAGAAAATGTATAGTCGGTGGAAGAAATATAGCACACTCGTGAATTAAACCTACAAATGGCTACACAGTTTGATCTAAAGCAGGTGTGTCCAACTCGTTGCCCACGGGCTGCCCGCGAGATCGCAAACTTTTAACATCGTTGTGCAATTTTTAGTAATATTTTTCGTGACTCGATTAGAGAAGAGAAACATAGAGAAAAAAGAGGAAAATGTATAGTCGGTGGAAGAAATATAGCACACTCGTGAATTAAACCTACAAATGGCTACACAGTTCGATCTAAAGCAGGTGTGTCCAACTCGTTGCCCGCGGGCTGCCCGCGAGCCCACAAACTTTTAATTTTCAACATTTCGATTGCGCTCTAATAAAAAATATAAAAAAATGAAATAAATTTTGTTAATTACACGCATTAACTGTATCATACATTTCGTACACGGCCCGAGGCGATTTCTCCTCGCGCAACGAGGCCCGTGCGGGCCAAAATATTAGACACACACGGCCCGAACGCTCTCATCTCAGATCCTACACGAAGGGGTGAAAAATGTATCCGTCGAATTCCTTCGATTCCGTTGCGATCGAATTTGATTAAAACGCAGTTCCGTTGTAGTTCAAGCGAGGGAAAAAAGGTGGAATCCTATTGGAGCGCCACATCGCGCAGCAATTTGATCGCGTTCCTTCGCGCGGAAACAATTCGATTTCCATACAGTCGGCAACCGTTGTTCCCATTTACAAAATACATCGCTGCTTCGACGGATAGGGGATGAAATAGAGAGGCAAAGCTTCGGACCAAAGAGAGAGAGAGTGTGGCGTACAAAGAGGCGCGCGAACGCGCGGAGAGAGAGAAATATAAAAGTTGAATCGTTGATGAATTTTTCAACATGTTAGAGCTCGCGCGATCTTCTTCAACTGGTTCTCGTTTTTCGATCATTTGCGTGAAAATCGCGTTGTTTCTTTTGTTCTCGCAGTTTCAAAACCAGCAAAGGAGTTGGCTACTCGGCGCATTTCGTCGGCAACTGCTTGGTCCTCACGTCCATGAAAGTGAAGGGCAAGGGCTTCCAGCATTGTGTCAAATACGAGTTTCAACCGCGAAAGGTGCGCATTTCATCTGGACAATTTTTGTAAATTATTATTATTATTATTGAGAGAGTATTTTTTCGACGTTTTGTAAGCATTGGAGCTGTCTTAATTAGGATGGGGAAGGCACTGATAATGATGAGCACTATGCTTTCTCCATAGGAACACAGTTTGCATCAAAAATTCTTAATAACGATAATTGTGCTCTGAGCTGTGAACGCCTTAAATTTTTGAGTGTTGGAAAATTTCGTTTTCGTTTTTTTTAACATTATTTTTGCGTTAGTATGAGTTGCGTCTGTTGGCTCAGAGCCAATCTACTAACTTATCCGTCTATGTTATTATCTACTACTTGAATGTTGGACAATTCCGTCTCGAGAAAGATGCATTTAAAGATTTTCAAGATCTGCTTGAGGCGTTGCTTTGGGTCATTCGAACTCTCGTAACTCTTGCAATTGAACTAATTTCGAAAAGTTGCCTGACAGACGTATTTTTCAGGCTGTAAGGAATACAAAAATGCAGAAAAGAAGTATATTAATTTTTTTTTAACTAGAATAACACCCCTTTAAGACTAAGAAAACCATAGTAAAGGGGTTAAAAACAGCTGACAAATTTACCTTAGATTGTTTAATCGTGGAAAAATAGCGTCACTGTTAGAACTTTAAAGTTCTTCTGTCCGTTTAATTTATACACTGGATGGAAGAATATTTTTTTAGCGAAAGAATGACCTGAATGAAAATTTCATGGCATAGATAGAAAATCACCTTTCGCTCGTAAGAGATAATTTTATTCTTAATCTAGAATAAAGTTTCTCTGTTCTTGTGCTTGAATATATACATATTCCATTCGGCAGATGTAAATTTGCATTGAAAATTGATCTCGTATGGCATAATAATACAAGCTCAACGGACAATTTGTCCGGGACGATTTCAACATGGCAATTAACGTTTATTTTCACAGTGGTATATGATCGCCGTAGTGTACATATATAATAGGTGGACGAAGAGTGAAATTAAATGTTTGGTCAACGGTCAATTGGCTTCGAGCACAGAAATGGCGTGGTTCGTTTCGACAAACGATGTAAGTGGATTTACACATTCCCTATTTCGATTATTAATTCACTCGTTTAGCGAGAGTAATTCGAATAACATTGCACTTCGAACGGTTGGAATATTTGAAAAATTGACACGTTTCGAACGTTCTTTGCAGCCGTTCGACAAGTGTCACATCGGGGCTACACCGGAACTGGATGAGGAGCGCGTGTTTTGCGGACAAATGAGCGCGATTTATCTGTTCAGCGAGGCTCTCACGACGCATCAGATATGCGCTATGCATAGACTGGGGCCTGGATATAAGGTAAGGGTGATCGAAGTTCGGGTGAAGACACAACCGAATCCTGAGGTTTCTTGGAAAATTTTTGCTGGAAAAACTGAGGAGTATATTAAAATCAGAGACTTTCAAAAATTATGAAATTTTTTAGAATATTAGAGACCTCGAATAATTGTCAAATTTTCGCCTGAAAAATTCAAGAGGACCTATATAAAAATTAGAGGCCTCGAAAAATTAGTTATTACAATTACCAAAAATTCCTAATTTTGAGAGACAATACTGTTGCAAAGATTAAAAATTAAGGAAACCTTTTAAAATTGCTAATTTTTTAGAAAAATAGAGAAAAAGGGGGGAAAAACTTAAGAATTGGACAAATTCCCAATATTCTTCTAAAATTAATGAATAATTCGAAAAAACACATTCCCAACGTTCCCCTAAAATGAATAAACAAAAATTCGAAAAAACAAATTCCCAACATTCTCCTTAAAAATTAACGAAAAACATTCCCCCGAAAATCTGAAATTCCAAATGTTCTTTCGCCTTCCATTTCTCCTAATTTCGACCGCCAGCCCCGCACACGGTCTCGAATTCACGCCGACCTGTTACATATTCAACAGCACGTGTCCCTTTTCACGCCTGTTCACAGAGTCAGTTTCGTTTTGACAACGAGTGTTACCTGAATCTGCCTGACAATCACAAAAGGGTGAGTGATGAGCCGGAGCTCACGAGCATGGTGGACCAAAGTATGCAAACTGTAAGCATTTTTATTTTCTTTTTTCCCCGTTTACATTTGATTTGCACATATGTTTAATCACTCTGTTACTGCGTTCGAGTTCGTCAGAGGTAATTACCGCCCCGTCGAATAATATCGACCATCACACTACGAATATACCATTATTCCCAGAACATCACGTTTCATTGGACGTTACTGCGATGCATAACGTTTGTATTCATCGTTTCAGTGGATCTCTGCTTTGTTTGTGACAAACCTTTTCTCTTTTTCTTTCTCTCTTCCTTTCTATACCTACACTGTACTCGTTCTTGTACGAGCCAACACTACTTTTCGTTTTGCCTGTGACGCTTTCTCGTCGATGTAGATACTTAGATAGCAGTATCTGAGATTTAAAGGGGTGCAGCAACCCTGAGACGTCTAAATACAGGTAAACTTTGGGAATTTTTTTCGAAGGTAACTACCGAACGAAAAGATTCCATTTTTTTTTCGAGGATATGAATGCGGACTTCAGCTTCCTTCTGCAATTTTTTGAAAGTAAAAATGTTACAAAATGGAGGAGTTATTGCGAAACGTCGTCTGGTAGAACATTGATCGCTGGTCGCCGTTGCTGGTAAGGATTGGAACGTCTGCAATAAAAAATTCTTTCTGATTCATATATAAAAATGTATCATCTATACTGTAGCTTACGATCTTTTCGATATCTCAATTATTGAATTTTTTAGAAATGTTTAAAGTTGATTTTTTTGGTAAAAAGAGGTTCTTCCTCTTTGAACTGCCACCATTTCTATAATAATTGAAATTTTCGAAAAATTTTAAGCTACATTGTAGATAATACATTTTTATTTATAACACAACGAGAAATTTTTTATTTCAGACATTCTAATTCTTGTCAACAATGGCGGACAGCAGTCGATGTTCTAGCAGCAGAACAGGTTTCGCAATTAATCAGTAACTCCTCCATTTTGCAAAATTTTTATTTCTAAAAATTGGAGAGGAAAGCTGAAAGCTACATTTATATCGTACGAAAAAATTGAAATTTTCCATTCAGTAGTTCCCTATGAAAAAAAATTCCCAAATTTTACCTATTTTCAGACGTCTCTGTGTGATCTACCCCTTAATTTGCAAAGTAGTTTAGTATGTTTAATAATTTTATTGTGGTGTGTATAAACGTGTTTAAATAATTTCATTGTGGTGTTCGTATTTCACACGTAGCAAAATATTTTTTCTCGTAATACACAGTGTGTTGTGTCTATCGTAATTTGTATAGTATTGTTAGCAATGGACGCTGCTGCGACCGATGGGTAACCTGAGTTTGGAAAACGTGTTAAATCTGTTTTTGGACCGTTTCCCCGGAGATTTACCAGTCTTTTTTTTCTTTTTTTTTTTAACTAAAATCACGTTCAATTTCATTTGTGATTTGTCGCACGATGTATTCGTTTTAATATGTAGCCATCGTTTTGAATAGTCATGAATAAACTTTGCAAGTTTACCCTTCTCTACAGTCTTATATATATATTTATACTTTGAATGTCAAAAAAAAAATGTGTCTAAAACATTCTACAGATATTTATATGCAATTAAATTTGGTAAACTTTCAGTGATTAATTATGACTTACGGTTGCGAAATGATCTTAATTGATGGAGTCACGTGAACGACTAAAACATACTAACGACGCCATTTTGTAGGTGCTTTACGATGGTAAGCTGTCGAATGCGATTGTGTTCATGTACAACCCGGTAGCTACGGATTCTCAACTCTGCCTGCAAAGCGCACCGAAAGGCAACGTCTCCTATTTTGTACATACGCCACACGCCCTTATGCTGCAGGTAGGATATCGAATATATCGCACTTCATTCAGAAATTAATGGAACGCTCGGTAAATTAGGTGTGAAGCAATAATTGATAATACAACAAGGTCATTTGGGGGGGGATTTGTGTAAAAAGTATCTTATTAATTTTCAAGATTGGCAAGTTTTTTGGTAACTTAGGAAAATTTGTGAATTTGACTGGTACCATTTTGGTACCGAAATGAAAAAATGGCAATTTTCTTCGTATCTCAAAAAATTCACGAACTTAGATGGTGTCACTTTAGTGCTAAAATGAAAGATTGGCAATTTTCTTGTATTTCAAGAAAATTTGTGAATATAGCTGGTACCATTTTGGTACCAAAATGAAAAAATGGCAATTTTCTTGAAAAGTTAAAAAAATTCACCAACTTAGATGGTGTCATTTTAACACCAAGATGAAAGATTGGCAATTTTCTTCTATCTCGAGAAAATTTGGAAATATGACTGGTACCATTTTAGCACCGAAATGAAAGATTGGCAATTTTCTTCGTATCTCAATAAAACCCACGAATTTAGCTGATATCATTTTAGCACAGAAATGAAAGATTAGCAATTTTCTTCTATCTCGAAAAAATTTGGAAATATGACTGGTACCATTTTAGCACCGAAATGAAAAAGTTGCAACTTCGCGTTTCAAAAAAATCCACGAATTTATCTGGCACCATTTTGGCACCAAAATGAAAACCTGACAATTTTCAACGTACCTAAAAAATTTAACTCGTACCATTCTGGCACCAGAATGAAACCCCGACAATTTTCAACGTACCTAAAAAAGACCACGAATTTAACTCGTACCATTTTGCCACGAGAATGAAATATCTCAAAAAATTCCCAAATTTAACTGACACCACTTGCACCACCAAAATGAAAAACTGTCACCCTTCTACGTATCCTCCCCCAAAAAAGAAATCCACGAATTCAACAATCACTTGCACCACCAAAATGAAAAAAAAGAAACCCCACAATCTCTCCCCGAGCGTTCCAATTTTTCTGCAACCGAGTGCGGGGAACATCGGTGCAGAAAAGTACTTGGAGAAGCAGCAGCGATCGAACATTTTACTGTCTATTTGTAGGAGGTAAAAGCTGTCATCACGCATTCCATTCATAGCACGTTAAACTCGATTGGCGGCATTCAAGTGTTGTTCCCTTTGTTCTCGCAACTAGATATGCCTTACGATTGCATAGCGCCGAACGATGTTAAACGTGATCCAACGTTATGGTAAATATACGCGTCGTGGAAAACAATCCAACCTCTGTTTTCGGTAAAACGAGACGACGGTTCCTGTGTCATGTTTATGCACGAGTTTCTATTTCCAGTTCGAAACTTTTGGGGTTTATCTGCGATCTGGTGGAGAGTTCGCAAACTGTGCAACAGCACATGGTGCAAAATCGTGGATTTTTGGTGATCAGCTACATGTTGCAGAGAGCTAGCAGAGACCATCTAACCACCGAAGTTCTCGCCTCGTTCTTGGAGCTCACTAAACACCTGGTCACGTGTCTCAGCGCGAACAGCGACTTGTTGTTGAAACAGGTATCGATTTAGTCATTAGTTTGCCCCCTCGTTACAGATCTAGAGTTAAGCTAGAGTTAAGCGTAATTAGCGTTGACGTAAACCTTGGATGGACAAAGGTAGAGATCGAATTCTCGACGACGATCGCGGAAGTGGTAGACTTTCCGTGATAAGAATGTGACAGACTAGTTTTGCACGAAAGTAGTAGAAATTCGAGATCGTATGTCTACACTTCCGTTCGTTAGTTTTGGGGGCAGCTAGTATGTTTTCGCAGAAAATATTACATTTCAAGTTAAATTTCGAAATTCCAGACTGAAAAATTTTTTTTTTAAATTTGAACAACTTTCTAATCACTGCTTAAATTTGTGTCCTGATACTTACGAATGGAAGTGTACATATCATAAAAGTATTTCTACTACATACATGTGTATCAGTTGTTAAAAATTTTAAAAAAGTTAAGTTAAGGTAATTCATGTTTAAATGCAAGTAGCAATTATTTGACAATTTGGTGATTAAACGAGAGTGACCTAAGTACAAAATCTATAAAAAATTCATTCACAAAAAAAATTTTTGTAAAATACGTAGTATCGGGGGGGGCCTCCGTCCTCAAATAGGAAACCTCGAAAGGAGAATACAGAGGGCGTTGTTGGCGTAGCGCGCCAAGCTTCGGCTTGCCAAACTCGAGGTCCCGGGTTCGATTCCTCGTTTGGTCCCTCAAAATTTCTTCGTCGATTTCTACAAATATTTTCTCAAAAATTCTAAATATCTCGAAAAAAGAAACATTCCTAATCACCCTAAAAATTTTCAAATAAAACAAAAGACGTAAAATGAATTACTTTAACTACCATATTTATAAGAGTTCAATATAGATCCTAAGTTAACCAAAGTATTACCACTAACAACCTGTACGAGACATAGTTAATCGTGTAATTAGAGAACCACCATTAGGTAAAATTAGGGTTTGTATCTCCACAAACTAGTATACATTCGACCTCCCCCTAGCAAGAACCACCACTGTGAAACATTCTGAATAGCGAGACTCCCTTAAAAAAAAAATTCGTATGTCACCCTTGCATTTATGTTACCTCCCTTCGTCCCCTATTATTCCCCCTTTCACGTTCCATCCACTATACAGTATACAATAGCATGAGCGAAAGAACTATTAAAACGCAGTTCTATCTATACTTCCGTACGATATCTGTTTGCATTAAGCTTGTCGTATAAAGAAAAAAAGAAGAAATGACTGCTCGTAGATGCTCTGAATGTAATATGCTATTTATAATGTACGTGTACGTACACATGTGTATATATATGTATAAATAATCCATTTAACGATGCATTTACAAACCTCACGCATGTATTATATACTTTTTCTCATGATACGACGTTATGTTACTCGAATCTTTGGTCGCATGCAATCTACCGACTTTTAGGCTTCCTGATTTCATAATATGGCTACGCAACAATGTTTCTTTCCTTTTTCTTCTTTCTTTCATTCACACTGAATTCGCTTTCCATACGAGAAATTTTCTACTGTTTCTATTATTCCTTTTCATTTTTGCAACGCTGAAGAAATATTCTTCCCTTGTGCTGTCTGACCGATCTATTTTCAGTTTTCTGTTATTCGAAACGATGCTACGAGCGCGTACCACAAGGATAGATACCCTGTTTTTATTGAATACCTGTGATAATGTTTAACTCGCTTCGTATTTCTACTCGAGGATGCCTCTATCGCCTTTCGAGAAAGCTGTTTTATTTTCGTTTTCATTCTTTATTGCGCACACTGTCAAATATTGGGACATCCTTTTTCTCGCGACGAGCGGCTAAATCATGGAAGAAAGGAAGATCACCGTTTGCAATATTTGTGTCGAATAATGTACAGTTTGGAAAAGAGATGTGGAGTAAAAAAGAATGCGACGTCTGTGTGATTTTTCGAAAATTGTCTCAATATTGTCGTCGGAGCTACAAAAATTCTCAGTATTGATTTATTCAGTTGCATGAATGTTTCACACGAACTCTCTCTCTACTCCTCTCAGTCTGTAATACTTTTCTGACGATTGTCGTGAATTTGTTACGACGAATTTCTTTTCATTCGCACAATTTCTTCCCTCCTGTTCTATTTTTTCTGTTAAAAATTCCCTCCTACTTGTGCTGTCCATTATACGGTACCCTGATTGCACAATTCTAAGTGTGAGACTTCCTGTTAAAAATCTCCCCCTTCGAGGAACGTTTTATGTGAGCACAAAACCGAGCATAAAGTGAGATTACGATGAATTTTCTTTCCTATTTACGAGTAACCACGGTGAACGGGTGAGAAAGGTGTAAAGTTTCTGCGAAGCAGGATTAAAATGACCGCATAGGAACACGATAAAAGTCGGCTAGATTGGTGTGTCCGAAGAACAGGCAGATCTATGGTGATGTAGTTGTTTTACTTTTCATTCCTAACATGGCAGCTATTGGACCACGTCCTTTTTAATCCCGCTCTGTGGATATATACTCCGGCTCCTGTGCAAACACGGCTTTATTCGTACTTGGCCACAGAGTTCCTCAGTGACACGCAAATATATTCTAATGTAAGGAGAGTCTCCACAGTATTACAAACGGTGCACACGCTTAAGTACTATTACTGGGTCGCCAATCCGCGAGCAAAGAGCGGAATCACACCTAAAGGACTTGGTGAGTGATGTTTTTCACGAGGTTGGATGGATTGATTTGGAAGATCGTTCGATTGTGGAGAGTTCACGTGGGTTTTTGATTGGGATTCCAGATGGACCACGACCACAGCAGAAGGATATTTTGACAATACGTTCTTATATTTTGTTATTTTTGAAACAACTGATCATGATCGGGAACGGGGTGAAGGATGACGAGCTGCAGAGTATTCTGAATTATCTGACGACAATACACGAGGTAATTGAATATCGACTCTATTTAGTGCGTTCTTCGATTGTATACTTAAGGTCTTTGGGTCTTTTTTGACCCAGAGACTTTGTGTGTCAAAAAAGGAACCAAAAACTTTAGGTGAAAAGAGACCCAAGGGCCTTATGGGTCAGTAAAGACCCAAAGACTTCATTGATCCAAAAAGGCCCAAATTTCATGGGTCAGAAAGGACCCAAAGACTTTTTGGGTCAAAAAAGACCCAAAGACTTCATGAGTCCAAAAGGACCCAAAGACCTCATGGATCAAAAAGGCCCAAAATTCATGGGTCAAAAAGGACCCAAAGACTTTATGAGTCACAAAGAACCCAGAGATTTTATGGGTCAAAGAAGACCCAAAAGCTTTGCGGTTCAAAAAGGGCCCAGAGACTTTAGGTGAAAAAAGACCCAAGGATCTCATGTGTCAGAAAAGGCCCAAACTTCACGAGTCCAAAAGGACCCAAAGACCTTCTGTTACCAGCACGCTACCTGAACCTAGAAAATGAACTTTTAATATGAAATTAAGGTAACAAACTTTCTAACAGCGAAAAAAGTAAAGGTGGGTCAAAAAAGACCCGAAGACCGCGCTAGACTTAAACAGTGTAATAGCGATCTAAAGTTCAAGTATATTTTCACGGTGAAACTTGGTCAATTCGGATAGAAATAAATTACAAACCGATGGAACGATGTTTTTACAGGACGAAAACTTACACGACGTTTTGCAAATGCTTATATCTCTAATGTCGGAGCACCCGTCGTCCATGGTGCCTGCTTTCGACGCGAAGCAAGGCGTCAGGACGATCTTCAAACTGTTGGCGGCGGAGAGCCAACTGATACGTCTACAAGCCCTGAAATTACTGGGTTTCTTCTTGAGCCGTAGTACGCATAAGTACGTAAAGGAATTGTACAAATGGGTTAATATATAAGCGGCCGTTTAATCCGTATAAATGATGTATATCAAATTGCAGACGGAAATATGACGTTATGAGCCCTCACAATCTGTACACGTTGCTGGCTGAGAGATTGCTGCTGAACGAGGAAACACTGTCACTACCAACCTACAACGTTTTATACGAAGTACTATGAGATTAATTCACACTCGCAATCTCGTGCGTTTCTTAATTGTATTTCTAAATTGAAATTGAATTTCTAGATTATGACGGATCACATTAGCCAGCAGATCCTCTATGCCAGGCACCCTGAACCAGAGTCCCATTATCGTGTAGAAAATCCAAGTGAGTTGATGAATTAGTATGAAATATGAATGTATATTTACACAAATTTCGATTTTTCTCCATTATATGCGGAGATTAACATGTCACTTCTTTTTCTGTACCATTTTGCCGTATAAATGTACATCGACTATGCGTAACAGACATGAAAATGGATGTGAATCACGGAAATCAGGGGAATTACACGTCACAGATAACAAACACTTTTAAACGTATTCTGTTCAAAATCATCTTCGTTTATAAATTTCTCAGAAATGTGTCTGGTGTAGAAATGAACTCTTTCCGATTTCTGGGTAAGATAAAAGTGTCATTAAAAAAAAAAAAAAAAAAAAAAAAAAATAAAATCAGATCACTCGTCGAAATAATTTGCATATTTTGCCATTTTTCTGAAAGCTTGCGAATATCGTCGCGATAGAAACTCGGTGGTTTTGAAACTTTCGGGTGCAACCAAAGTTTCACTTAAAAAAAAAAAAATAAAACAGATCACTGGTCGAAATAATTTGCATATTTTGCCATTTTTTCTGAAAGCTTGCGAATATCGTCGCGATAGAAAAGTCGAAAGTCGAAAAGAATTCATCTCCACTGATCAACGATGACATTAACAGGATGATACAAAAAAATCGAAATTTTCACAAGAGTACATATACATTCTTAATATTACTTTTCTTTACCAATTGTTTCAGTGATACTGAAAGTAGTAGCGACGCTAATTCGACAATCAAAGCAAACTGAGCAATTACTCGAAGTGAAGAAGCTATTCCTCTCGGATATGACATTGCTGTGCAACAACAATCGAGAAAACCGACGAACTGTTCTACAGATGTCTGTATGGCAAGAATGGCTAATAGCCATGGCGTACATTCATCCGAAGAACACGGAAGAGCAAAAGATCTCGGATGTGGTATACTCGTTGTTTCGCATGCTTCTTCATCATGCTATCAAACACGAGTACGGTGGATGGCGTGTATGGGTGGACACTCTAGCGATCGTGCACTCCAAGGTAAACGTCGTGGAACACGGAAAAAGAAAATTCGAAAGTATGTTCACGTGTGACACGTGAATCTTGCGAACGTTTCAGGTGTCCTACGAGGAATTCAAGCTTCAGTTCGCTCAGATGTACGAGCATTACGAGAGGCAGCGATCAGATAACATCACGGATCCCGAGTTAAGGCAGCAGAGGCCAATCAGCACTATCTCCGGTTGGGATCAACAGCATTCGGGGAATAATGGGTATAACAAACCATCGCCATGGGGCAATCAACAGAATCACGAAGTGCAACACGTGGAAAGGAATTACAAGGTTGGATATCAAATCGGGGAATTAATGTGGGGTGTAGAAATGAATTCTCCCCGACCTTTCGGTGTGATCGAAGTTTTGTTTAAGGAAAGCAGATCAATCCATTATTGTTGATGAACTTTTGCCATTTTTCTCGAAACTCGAAAGAAAGGATTTCGGTGGTTTTTTGAACGAATTATGTGAAAATCCAGTCGGAACAAATTCATTTCTGCAATATTGGGTAGATTTGTACTTGGAAATTCTGACATTTAACCCTTTGGCGACTGAGAAGCAACGTTATTGCTTATCACTCGGTGTCTTTAACCCGTTAACTTTTATACCAGTGACTCACACGTGCACCGAACAAGTGCATTTTTTTTAAATTATTTTCTTTCACTTTGCATATTTCGTTGTATCACGACAAAAGAGAAGTTAGTTACAGCATTATAAATCGTGGGAAATTTATTTCTACACGCCTAGAAGGTAATTAAAAAAAAGGCAAAATAGATCTTTGATGAAAATTTGGCACATCGAGTTGAGAAAAATGCGAGCGTTAAGGGGTTAACGAACTGTTTACAAAGCCTTCGTTTGTATGAACTAAGATCTTGAATACTAAGATGTAAAAATATTTTTTTTACAATTTCTACGTTGATAAATCATTACCATGGAATCGGAAGAAGAATACTTTCGGTATCAATTGCGTCACATCATCCTGAAAATAAACCTTATTTCCAGGAGTTCGAGGGAACCGAGGGCAACGATCGAATGGAAGAGTCCTGCAGCTGCGACCTGAACTCGATAGACAACACGGAGAGCGACGGTAGTCCAGCGATCGTGAAATCTCACAGCGAGACCATGGACACAGCTCAGTCCAGCGAAGCGATATCCCTAGACTCGAGACTAAGCGACAAACCAGAAACACCGACAACAGCTCGCGAAATGCACACGGACACACCGACGATCCTCGAGGAAGGAAACAGCGAAGCAGTTTCCATACCGACCACACAAGAAACCAGCGAGGCGATATCGATAGAGAGCTCCAGCGACTTCTACAGCGAAGTCCACAAGATCGAAGGTTCCAGTCCCGACTCGATGCAAGAAGTTCTGAAAAAGGACGACGAACCAACAGCTGAACAGAAGCCTCAAGACGAAACTGTCTCTCAGCCATCTTCCGCTGAGCAAACTAAGGAGAACGCCCAGGCTGCTGGGCAGAAGGATGCCGAGAACACGGAAGAAACTGTAGCAACAGTCGAGGAAAACGCAGTTGCGTCTGACGCGGCTGAATCGAACGTCGAGAAGACACCAGGGGTCGAAGCTGAGGTGAAAGTTGAGGTAGAGGCTGAGACCAAGGCTGAAGCTAAAGCTGAAGCCGAGGCTGAGGCTGAGGTCGAGGCTAAAACTGAAACTGAAGCTGAAGCTAAGACGGGAGAGGAGGTTGAAGTCTCTCCTGCAAAGGAGGAGCAGAAGGACGAAGAAGAGAAAGCTAACGTGGAGGAGAACGTTGCTCCCGAAGAAGAGATTCCTTCCGACACGGCTGAAGCTTCCGAGAAACCGGAAGAGAAGGAAGAACAGACAGCGGACGAAAGTTCGATGGACGTTGCCGCGATGGAACAGGCCGATTCGGAGACCGTGCTATCTGTCTCACCTGGCGAGACACCTGAACCGTTGACCATCAAGGACATCGAGAAGCTGCAATTGGAGAACGACAAAGAGGTGATCGACAGCGACACCTCCGAGGCGTACTTAACACCGACAGAGAATCAAGAGAATTTGGTCGAGCTGAAGACGAAGGAGATGGACAAGATCGAGGATAATGCGACCGATGACGTCACCGCGGAGATCGTTGAAACGACGAGCGTTGCTGACGTTGAGATGAACGTGAACGAGGGGACCGAGGAGGCCGTGAAAAATTCCAATTGCTCAACTAGCGTAATAGAAAGTAACGACGAGGCAGGCGGTGCGAAGGTAGATGTAGAAGAGGAGAAAGTGGAAAGCTTAGCGGGTAGTGAGTTATGTAGCGAGAAATGCGCGGTGGACTCTACGAAAGAGGACAAAAGTGCTGTTATTAATGATAACGACGAGAAGGTAACTGATAAACATTCAAGGGAGCCGTCCACTATTTCTACTAACGTAAGTGATAATCAGTCAGACATTCCAGTGAGAACTGAGACCGAGGTAGAGGTAAAAGGTAGTGTTTGTAGTAATAGCGATATTCAAAGTTCTGTAGATAATGTGACGCAAGTGCCAAATCCTAAGCAGCAAATTCCAACAATATCTACGGTCTGTGATGCTAATAAAAATATGCCCGACGGTGTGCCTAAAATCGTTAGTTCTACAGTGGTTACCAGGGATAATAATTCGTTGTTGAATGACTTAACTCCGGATCACGTAGATGCCCATCGCAGATCCAGCTTACCGGTCGTCTCCACGGAGAACGCGGCCGACGATAATGTTAACAGTAACAGTAACGAACCTCCTTCTTTACCTGTACCCTTGCGGAAAACATCGTCACCCCAGAAACGACCAAGGAGTGCCTCAACGTCCACGCAAGTGGATCCCAATCATTTCGGTGAGCACTCTTTGCATTCCCGTGTTTCTTCGTCCTTCGATCCTCGCGCTACCAAGGTTTAAACCTTGCAATTTACATTTTTTAAAACGCCAAGAGCGGGGAATTTTGGGCTCGCCTCGAGAAATAATTTTGTCTACCATTTCAATGTTTCCGTATTTCTTCATTTTGTAATCGTCGCGCTACCAAGGTTCAAACCTTGTAATTTAAGTTTTTTAAAACGCCAAGAGTGGGGAATTTTGTCCTCGCCTCGAGAAATAATTTTATCCACCATTTGAACGTTGTCTGAATACTAAATTAACATTAATAACAGATAATCATCTTTGATGCGAAGAAAATATTTCTCTATATTAATTCTAAGTAAAATACAAGATGACGGGTCAAAAATGACCCGAGGACCGTACTAGCGTTAATATCGAACTGTTCAACTGTACATACGAAAATGGCTTATCGTATAAAGTTACCAATGTTGTTGTAGAATCAAAACGAGCGAAGCAAGGTAATCCTTCAACGAGACCAATGTTCAGCCCAGGACCGACTCGTCCTCCTTTCAGAATACCGGAATTCAAATGGTCTTACATACATCAGAGATTACTCTCGGATGTTCTCTTCTCGTTAGAGACTGACATTCAAGTCTGGAGAAGGTACGTAATGCGACAACCTAACTGAAAATTTCCCACGGAACATTTCTTAAAACTATATCTAATACTATTTCTGAAACAGCCATTCGACGAAGTCAGTGTTGGACTTTGTAAACAGCAGCGAAAACGCAATATTTGTTGTTAATACTGTTCACCTAATTTCACAACTGGCTGACAATCTTATTATTGCCTGCGGAGGATTGTTACCCCTTCTAGCCTCAGCGACCTCGCCAAATGTATGTACACATATATCTCTGTCTTCGTGAAGTGAAGATTACACATCTTTCTTTCTTTCCTTTTTTTTTCTCTCTCTCTCTTACTTCCGTTTCACATATAGAAGAGCATATCCGGGTGAAAATTTCATTTCTTACGGATTCTTTATTTTAATTCGTGCTTGGATATATTCATAGAGCGAATTGGATGTAATTGAACCAACTCAGGGGATGCCAATTGAGGTAGCAGTTTCTTTTCTGCAAAGACTAGTCAACATGGCTGATGTACTTATCTTCGCCAGCTCTTTAAATTTCGGTGAACTGGAAGCTGAGAAGAATATGTCTAGTCATTTCTTTTTTTTTTTTTTTTTCATACAGACACACTATACTACTTAATCAGACCGTGTTACTCGAGTTCCACGAGAGATCTCGTTTACTGTAATTTTGGTACAGCTCGATAAATTAACTCTTTTTTAAGGAAATTGTAGAATTTTCATAGAGCCAAAAAGAAATGGAGAATTGTTGTTTTTAAAGGGACCACATTGAGTGTTTGCGATGCACACTAATTAGACTCATTGAAATTTGTAACATAATTACACTGATATCGATGTTAGGTTGACCACGTCTTTCCTTTTTTTTTTTGTTCACGTTCGATAACTATTTTATATCACTCTCATATGTTCATCGTTCTCTTTCACAGTTCCTAATTGAAAGACGAAGTTTACCTAGATTAGGATGTAATAGAATAATCATATAGAGTGTGCTTTCCATTAATTTCTTACTTTGAGTGTATATACATATTGGTGTTTCATAGTGCGTTAGTATATAAACTGCCCTTATGAAAATTTAGAGATGAAATATTTAAAGATCGGGAATGCAGCTAAAGCGTCACATATTTGAATTGAAAGTAAAGTGATCTGATGTTCACAGTTTTATTTTTTATTTTTTTTTTTTTTCAAATTTGCAATATAGGATCTCCAATGTAATAAAAAAGAAAAGCGCACATAATTTAACACAATACACCTTCTCGAAGTCACCCACCTTACAACAACACTATCGTAGTTCACAAGTAAACTCTTTCTATATACTATATAGAGAATAGTGGTTAATATCAGCAGTGTATTTAAATAGTTGTAATAATTTTTTTAGTTTCCGTATATGTAAGAGAACATAGAGAGTACCTGAACATGTATTGTTTTTACACGATATTTTTTGTTATATTCATCTGATGAAATGCTTCTATAGGTCTGTACATGTGCCGTTAGAAACTGCTTAGAGTGTAAAGAACGTGGCAGATCGTACAGCATGTTAGGTCGGCAGATTGGTACTAGTAATAAATCACAGCACATACAGTCTCTTATACGAGGAGCTCAAACATCACCCAAGGTATGTCTCATCTGATCGTAACTGAATTTTATATAGAGAAAAACAAAAGAATTGTGTTATTGTCATCGATACTTGACAAGTTTACAACACACCATTGTATACTTTATCGGAAAGAAAAAAAAAAAAAAGCTGTATCATATAGAGAATAGTGTTCACAGTGATCGTTAACATCATTTGTCGACGGTGGGAATAAAGTATATCGTTTCTATTTACTTTTTTTTAGAACATTGTGGATAATCTGGCACATCAGTTGAGTCCTGTAAAGGATCCTGAGAAATTACTGCAAGACATGGACGTGAATCGCTTGAGAGCTGTGATATACAGAGATGTTGTAAGTATGCCGCCTGGTTCATATTTGAGAGGGTTAAAGTCAGAATTTTCTTGTTCTGAGAAACAGAGAGTGTTGTTAGAAATTTTGTACTGTATCGTGTTTAATGTTACCAGAAAGCCTGTACTAATTGTAACTCACTTTCACTTGTATTTTTAATAGTTTGGTATGTCTAGGTTGAGTTTCAGCACTTGGGTACAAATTTTTTGAAATGTTACTTACACCACTGTGACTTTAACTCTCTCGTATGTAGTTAGTGGTGTGCGAGAACCCGAAATATCGGGGATACCGAAAGTGTAGGGATTCTAGAGAATATCGGGGATTCTTGAAGGTACCGGGATTCAATTTTTCGACTTTTTAGGCGTTTTCGAAAACCGCATTATAAAATTTATTTACTTACTTATTTTCACTTATTTAATTCCGATACTTTTGGGAATCCCGGTACTTTCGAGGATTCTGTCTCTCCCGGGAATCCTGGCACTTTTGAGAGTCACGTATCTCCTGGGAATCCCAGGTACTTTCGAAAATTCTGTCTCTCCCGGGAATCCCGGTACTTTCGAGGATCCCGTCTCTCCCGGGATTCCCTTCTCTCCCGGGAATCCCAGTACTTTTAAGAATTCCGTCTCTCCCGGGATTCACGGTACTTTCGAGAATTCCTTTTCTCCCGGGAATCTCCGTACTTTCGAGAATCCCGTCTCTCCCGGGAATTCCGACACTTTTGAGAATCCCACATCTCCCGGGAATTCTAGCACTTTCGAGAATCCCGTCTCTCCCGGGAATTCCGACACTTTTGAGAATCCCACATCTCCCGGGAATCTCCGTACTTTCGAGAATCCCGTCTCTCCCGGGAATTCCGACACTTTTGAGAATCCCACATCTCCCGGGAATTCTAGCACTTTCGAAAATCCCTTCTCTCCCGGGAATCCCGTCTCTCCCGGGAATCCCAGCACTTTCGAGAATCCCGTCTCTCCCGAGAATTCCGACACTTTTGAGAATCCCGTCTCTCCCGGGAATTCCGACACTTTCGAGAATCCCGTCTCTCCCGGGAATCCCAGCACTTTCGAGAATCCCGTCTCTCCCGGGAATTCCGACACTTTTGAGAATCCCACATCTCCCAGGAATTCCAGCACTTTCGAGAATCCCGTCTCTCCCGGGAATTCCGACACTTTTGAGAATCCCATATCTCCCGGGAATTCTAGCACTTTCGGAACTCCCTTCTCTTTCGGGAATCCCGTCTCTCCTGGGAATCCCAGCACTTTTGAGAATCCCGTCTCTCCCGGGAATTCCGACACTTTCGAGAATCCCGTCTCTCCCGGGAATTTCGACACTTTTGAGAATCCCATATCTCCCGGGAATTCCGACACTTTTGAGAATCCCACATCTCCCGGGAATTCCAGCACTTTCGAAAATCCCTTCTCTCCCGGGAATTCCGTCTCTCCTGGGAATCCCAGCACTATTGAGAATCCCGTCTCTCCCGGGAATTCCGACACTTTCGAAACTCCCTTCTCTCCCGGGAATCCCAGACATTCTCGGGAATCCCGACACAATCGAGAATCTTGGAATTTTCGGGACTTCGTCCTTCGGGAATCCCGACACTTTTGAGAATCTCGACACTTTCGACAATCGCGTCTCTCCCGGGAATCCCGAACATTCTTGAGACATTCCCGACACAATCAGAAATCTCGAAATTTTCGGGAACTCGTCTCAATCCCAAAAAAATTTCCGGCCCAATATTTTCGGGTTCTCACACACCTCTATATGTAGCTGCTAATAAAGATGAAAATTTCTGATTGATAAAGAATATATTTGATTTTTTTATTTCAGGAGGAAACCAAGCAGGCCCAGTTTCTGTCCCTTGCTATAGTTTACTTCATCTCTGTACTAATGGTATCAAAATACCGCGATATTTTGGAACCACCAATATCGCAACGTCCACCAAGCCCTGTTCAAACAATACAGACTAATGGTGCTAATCTGAGACCAGGTAGCCCTTCAGGTAAGATATGTATCATTTTAATTATTAGATCATTTGTTACAACAAAGTGATACAAAGATCTGAATCAATTTCTTTATCGATAGAAATGATTAAATATATTGTTGTACGATAGGAGAGATATATAAACCAGTTGGTCTATTATTACATCCAGGAGCATTGTTTCTTATAATAAATTGAAATGTTAAGAACTTTTTTTCTGTAACTAGGTTACATAGCAAGTTAAAAAGGTGATTATAAACACTGTCATTTGCAGGAATTTTAAAAAAGAGAACATTGATAAGAAACATAAAGATTATTGAAATTAATGTTGACATTGATATATATGCATGTTCAATTTCAAACATCTATGTGTTAGCCCTAACAAATTTTACACAAAAAATACTATTGTCTGTTAAGAAAAAAAGAAAAAAGAAGAAATAACAGTAATAATTTTAAATTATTACTTCAAAACTCTTACATGTCAGATATGCATTGTTACATTTTCTAATTGTTTCATCTAACAAAAATTTACTTCTCTCTGTACATTAAATGTGATACAATATTATCGCATGATTGTTATTAATAATAACAAAATCAGCATGTTTCCCGTGATATCGACAAATTCAAACGGAATTTCTTTTCTTCTCAAACTTCGATATAGTCTGAACTCGACAAATATAAAATAAACAGGTATTACGAACTCTAACGAATATATTTGCCGTTAAAAACAACATGTTTTTTCAAACAAATACAGTGTTTCAACACGAATTAAGCGAAGTGATTGGATCATGAATTAAATATCAATTTTTATGCATAAACACATAATGTAGATGCTGTAAAACACTATGCACTTTAACTGTGTAGAGGCAAATCGAACAACAGCACAATTACACTGAATAGACAAGCATGTCCAATTGCACTGTATGAACTATTTTTTCTATGTATCTGACAGTGAGAGTTTTGATGTTTGTCGAATGCATTAGCACTTTTTCCGTTCCGTTTGGATATACTTTCTAAATGTCGCTATTATTTTATATTACAAAAGAAAAAAAAAAGATACAAAATTTATTTGTGTAAAACGAGTCCGAAAAATGTCAGCTTCGAAAGTTGCAACGAAAAAGAAAATAATCTACGTCGACTATGTTAAATGTTTCGTTAAAAGAACAATTGAATGTTTAACAACATGTACACCATTTAAATGTTGTAATTCTACGATACGTGTTATCTTTGAACTGTGAGATGCTCCTACAATTTTCTTTTAAACAATGAAAAAAAAACAGTACCAAATTTCTCGTAGACTGAGTTTCACTCTGCGTTGCTGCTCTCTGTTGCGAGATATTTAAGCAAGAATTGTTCAATTTGAACATGTTGTGCATCGATAGCTCGAGAAATTGAAAAGATTTAGGTAGAAAGTTTGCAGTCAGAGAAGATCATATTGTAGTAACAAATTCTACTTCTCTGTAATAATTGTAGATATTAAAAATCAACTTCTATACAGGTTCTCATTCTCCGTTTCGCTCTCGTAGAACTACAAGTACTATTTCTTCAACGTTAGTAAATATCATCGTATCTTGAATTTCGGTGGTATTTAGAGGTAAAATTTAGAAAAGTTGCAATCTGAAGAAAGTACAAAATTATCGGTGTATTTTAGCACCTACTAACCGTTTGAGTCCCAGGGGTCATTGAAAATACACTATCGAAAAATGTAGAATAGCGCAATAACGCTTGTTTTAATTGATAACGAAAAGAGCTAAAAAGCGGCGCGGGTAGGTAACGCTTTTTATATTTTCTGTCGACACATGCCGGTCAGCGCGATGCGATGTACATGTGTCAAAAAAATTGACCGCACTATTTCGGCAGACTGTGAGTGCACCGTCAGTTGTCCATATCGTTTAAATCAGAGGCGCTTAACTTCTTGCTCACGAGAAAACTTCCCCTCCCGTGGTTCCCCCACTGTGCGACTGTGATGGTCTCGCTCGAGTTATGGCGCGGCGACAGGAGGACGCGAGGGGTCCTCCCACCACAACTCCAGCGACTGGCGTTGGTTATGTTACACATTCTGCGTGTCGTACCGCATAGTGGGGGAACCATGGGAGGGGAAATTTTCTCGTGAGAAAGAAGTTAAGCGCCTCTAGTTTAAATGTACCGGGTCTTTTCGACACAAAATCCAAACAGCGCGATCGCGCTGCTTGGGACTGCAACGGTTAATGCGGTTTAACCTTGGAACGACGGAGGCCGGGTCACTTCTGACCCAGCTTTCAAGTGACGTTCAAAACAGTCGCAATTTAATCCAGGATATAATTTTGTGTAATTTTTTAACGCGTTGAATGTCATCGGTGACCAACGGTGCGAATTTTTACTTAAAAGTGTTTAATTCGAATAAGCGGGTAATGTTTGCAAAATTTTCATCTAAAGCGTCACACGGCATATTTAAGTAATTTCATCTCTAACTGTTGACACATTGTTTATTCAACTGCGATGCGTCATATTAAAATAAAAAATTAATTTCGACGCCGTGGACGAGTTATATACGTAGATTTGGTCCTGCGTTCAATGTGTCGACCCTTCGACAGTCTAACGTAATTACAAATTGGGGTGAACAAAATTCACATTTTACACGTATCTTTTTAACAATTACGTCGTGTGTGATTATTTTCAACATACACAGTTCTGATAACAATATCTCGCCCCTTTCTAACTTTCTCTTGAGTTAAACTGTCCGTTATTTAACTGACTGCCCAAATTTCACTCAGGAAAAATGTGGTTTAATTTACCTAAAAAAAAAAAACACGTTAAATTAGCCTTGGGTCATTTTTGACCCGGTCACCGTACGTTCGACGGTCGCGCCATTAGCAGTTCGAGGGTTCAGCGACGTTTGCTTAAAAACAGGCAGAGTGAAACCCAGTGAAATAAAAAAAAAAAGTGTGACACGATCAGATGATAAGAGCAAACGCACGATAGGAAAGGGAAAAGAAAACACACACAACACACACACACACACACACACAGAGAGGGGTTAACGGTCGAGAATCGTGGTAACGTGGTAAATGTGGTTCCTCAGCAGATGGGAATGGTGGTGGAGGAGGGCGGCCCCTGTTTCCACAGTGGTCTCACCACGTGTACCCACAGTTCCTCCCGGGATCTCACCCTAACGCCAATGCGAATGCCAATGCCAATGCCAACCACCATATGAACCAGCACCACCACCAGCACCCGCTACCGGCTGCCAGGCACTCTAATCGCCAGCCCCCCTCCAACTATTATCTCCCGAATCACCACAGTAATCATTATAACCATCATCCGAATAACCATAACTATCATCGTCATCATCATTACCATCATCACAATAACAACAATCACCATCATACGCTTCAAAAGCATATCGATCAGCCCCGAAATCTCTGTCATAGAAACTCCGGTGTTGGTCTGCAAGGTAACTCGATTGCCCGAACGTTGTGGTTCCACGGAATGCTCGAGTTTGTTTCTTTCTCTCCCTTCTTCTTTTATTTTTCTTTTTTTTCTCTCTCTCTCTCTCTCTTCAATTAACGCCTGCTCGATGACTTTTTTAACTGCCGCCAACTCTCTCTATCTATCTATCTCTCTCTCTACTGGCCGAACGAACGAACTGTCGAGTTTTTTTTTTTTTTGGTTTTTGTCGTTTTTCACGATTTTTCTGTTAACTTCCCTATACAACCGTTGTCGAACGTTTTTCTTCTGATTTGTTGTGTATCAAGTTTCAGTTTAATCTCGATATTTCTGTATGCATGTTTCTTCCTTTCTTTTTTTTTTTTTGTCGTTCATTAGCCAGTTTTGAGCCAGTACGATGGTTGATTTGTAATACATACGGTTACACGACGTGCACGCACATACACACGCATATGCATCGTTCTGAGTTTTTCTTAAACGGCGTGTTCTAGTTTTATTTGGCAAAAGTTGAAAATGATTTTGGTTCAGATTTTCGGTAGAATTTTCGTTCGATTTTCTTTCTGCTGGAGTATCGATCGATTTTTGTTTCGATTTTTCGTGGGTTTTTTGAATTCTTCTTAAGTTCGTTTAGAGGAATACGTTGATTGTTTGAGTTTCGTTAGACCTTTTTTCACTCGAATGTTGTTTTGAAAGCTTCGAGCACAAGCTACGAATGAGAACTATGCACCTGTTTGTATACGATTTGGATACTAACAGAAAAATCTGCATGTGAATTGTTCACTCACGATGCAACTTCACTTGGAGATGTTGATTTGAACACTAAACGCAGGATTACTCCCGTTACCGATAAAGAAAATACAGTAATAATTACTCGAAACTTGAGTTTATCCATTGATGACAGTTGCACGTTTCGAATAATTATTTTGCTAACCAGAAACCCGACTAAAGTCCCCAGTAAAGTTAAATGCGACGCGGAGAGTCTCTGAAAAGCCTCAAAACGTTCGCTGTTGTTGTGCAATTTAAAAAATTAGCAATGATTTTCTTACGTTTGTTGAAATTATGAAAAATGATTTTTCGAAGAGAAAGGAAATATCAAGATTTCCTTCAGCTTCGATTCGTTACAGCTAAACAGTTTTGAATGCTTTAATTACATTCCTGAATTACGCTTCTTTTGTTCCTTTCCGTTTTTTAATTCCTGCACTATACTGCATCCTCCCCTGTACAATGCGATCGACGAAATGTCAAGAAATTTCTCAGAATAATCTTCAAAAAAAAAAAAAAAAAAAAAAAAAATGAAATTTGTTCGATAAGATATCGTCGATCGCATGATCGTTCATGTCAGCCTGCTTTGCAAGACGAACTAGAACTGTCCCAGAGAAGCACATGTCGTCACAGTGGTAAAATATGTTCCCAGGAAGCGGTGGTATAATGAGTCAGGCTGGTTCTCAAGACGACGGTGAATACGAGGTGATAATCGTCGACGAGAACAACTCGTCGATCCTGGCGGATCACGACGTTACGTCATCTGGACCACCGTCGACGAAGGTAAGTGACCAAGATGATAAATCGCATCTTATCTATACGGTTAAGAGTCAACCTGTTGCCACGTTTTTGTTTATTTACCAAAAAAAAAAAAAAGAAAAAAAACGTGAAAAAGATCTAGCCGTACGAATGATGCATACGTCAGGATTAATTGAACCATTGTTCTCAGGTAAAACGAAAAAAAAAAAAAAAAAGAAACGAAATCAAAAAATCTTGTGAATCTCTCCTTCAGCGCTGTAAACGAAACGATAGCGAAATACACTATCACGAAAACCCGTCGATGCTCGAGAAGATTTGTAACAACTTTACTTGAGACTGCATGCTTTTTATTCAACAGATTATATATTACCAATCGTGTCTCATTTCTGTGACCTCTGAATTATATAAGAATTATCAGAAGAGAATTGTAATGATCGTTTTTTGAATCGTGATCTTGATATATTGTATTATATTATGCTGTGTCTACAGGGTGTCTTTTTTTAATTGGACCTCGGTGGAATATCTCAGGAGGATGTGACGCTATCGAAAAAATGTTCTTGCAAAAGTTGTTTGGTATGATGAGGGACATGTCGAAAAATGAAATCACTTGGTGACCCACTGTGGGTCACCCACAGTGACCCACCATGGGTCACACTCAATGACCCACCATGGGTCCTACACGGTGATCCACCATGGGTCACACACAATGACCCACCATGGGTCACCCATAATGGCCCACCATGGGTCACTCGCGATGACCCACAGTAGGTCACACTCAACGATCCACTATGAGTCATGCCGTCTATTAAAAATTTTTTGTTGCCCATGCCAGAATGACCCATGGTGGGTCACGTCGACGAATAAGAATAATAGCGGTCCATTTGAAACAATAAGCTTGACTTTGAAATCTCCCTCACTTGTGAAAAAGCTGTATATATCACATTATGTGCCTCATCATACCAAACAACTTTTGTAAGAACATCTTTTCGATAGCTTCAGTTTGTTCCGAGATATTCCACCGAGTGTTCAGTTAAAAAAGACACTCTGTGTATATTCGATACCCTGTTTTCGATGATATCTTGATGGAGACATGACTATTGCACCCTTCTGTCACGCACGATCTACGGTTATAATGGAATTGGCACTATCCGCCCACGCGATTCGCTTTGCATACGTCTATTG